TGGGTGTTCAATATCTATATATGTATACATTTAAACGTAATAAGTTTGTATGTCAGTTTTTGGTTCCCATAACTTGGAGCCCGATAACAGTGCGTGACTTGTTCCCGGTATTTATTTATTTATTGGTGTAGATACATCAAATTGGATGCTGGAAACTTTGAACATTAGTTTAAAGTCTCAATGGTATTCTAATAACAGCTCTTCGACCCTTCAAATCGAAAAACCCTCAGAGCTTTATTTAATGATGTTTCAAATCTTGTGGGCTCGGGCTATGACAAATAAATTTACAAGTAAAAATAAACAAATGAGTATTGATTATTTATGATGACTAGAGGTCCCGCAGTAGTCGAAATTCGACTATAATTAATTGGAATTGTAAGTTTGTACACTATTATGATTGTATTTTATACTTCTTTAATCACAAATTTCGCCAAGACTACACTATAATTTTTTTTAACAAAGACAAACAATATTTAATCTCAATTTGACAACAGACGTCAAGAACAAAAGTTTGACAATAAATAGTATGCATGCGTGTGTGCGTCAAATACATGGTATGTAGTGTGTGTAATGTTTTCTTTATTAATTTAATGTATCTATTAGCATTATTTAAAACCAATATTAGCACTGTGCACTTTTCTCTATATTCTCTATAAGTGTGGAAAATTTCATACTCCTCCGTCCACGCAATTTTCGTAAAAAGGGATACAAATTTTTTGCTTCACGTATAAATATATAGATTTATAAAACTCTATTAAACAAACATTACGACCACCGTTAACCTACGAGCTACTACTGTCTGTTTGTTCAATGCCAATAACAACATAACCCGAATACTACTTCTTGTACTTGCAGCAAAATAACACAATCCAATTTTATTATACACTAGCTGATCCGGCAGACTTCGTAGTGCCTCAATCGATAAATAAAAGACCTAAACTTTTGTATAAAATAAACTAAAAAAAAAACAAAAGGAATCCGTCCGACGGGGGATATTTTCATATTTTTTCACCTTTTAAACCTTCTCTGCACTTCGACAAATAATTAAAGACCTAAATTAGCCAAATCGGTAGTGGCCGTTCTCGAGTTTTAGCGAGACTAACGAACAGCAATTCATTTTTATATATAGTATAGATTATTGGACAATAGTAGTCCAAAAAAAACTCCGTTGAATGTTATTTTACTACAAATGATTAAATAAAACCAATCGAATTCCGTACCAATTTCATGAGTTAAAAAATCTTATGCTAAAGTTCAATGATCTGATATTGAAAAAACACCTAGTTAATTTTTTTTTCAATAAATTACATCAATGTTTTAGATAATCATATTTAATTTAGTTACATTTTATACATGTACATAATATATACGCGTTCATTTAATGTCAATTTCAATACTTAAATATTAGATTATTTCAGTAGTTGAGTAAATACATTATAAACACGTTTTCATTAGCTCTTAAGAACTTTCATAGTACCCTAGTGCTATTGTGAGCTCGCTTACATAAATACTAGAATTTTGCCTATTTTTTTTTTTTATTGCTTAGGTGGGTAGACGAGCTCACAGCCCACCCGATGTTAAGTGGTTACTGGAACCCATAGACATCCACGACGTAAATGCGCCACCCACCTTATCCACTAAGACATTATGTGTTCCAATTTGAAGAGTTCACAGCTTCAGCTTCTACACAATACAGTTGAGACAGCGACCTCATGTCTATAAACAGGTAATGGAATCCACAATGTGATGCTGCATTCAAACCTATGGCTTCCTGCCACAAAATATGAAATCCGTCTCGATCGACCGCGGTTGGATCTATCTCATTGAACAACTATCAGTTCCAAAATAATTTGCAGTCCTGAAAAGAAGTGAGAAAACAAACTCAACGGGTTATTCATTTTTATAACGCAACTTATCAATGCCTTGCAATGTCAATTCAACGCAAATTTATTGAATTATTTGCTGTTTATTAGCGTTTCCTTAGGTTCGTCATGTTATCGTTAATTAAAGTAATTAATTGCAAATAACCGGTTTTGAATACCGGAGAATGTGCCTTTTATAGGTAATTAATTAAAAATACCAAATTCATTGAATAATACAATACAACCAAACAGTATCTATGCAGGAAAAACTTCACATATGTACCTATTGACATATCTTCTCGCGTTAAAACTATATAATCTCAAAACTTACCAATTTTACAGGAGAGCGTTTTAAAGGTTTAACATGTGATATTTTTTACATTAATCATCTTTGAAACATAATATTTTTTTTACCAGTTACATTATCTGTCTTTTAAAGTAAGATAAAATTATGTATTAATGTTGTTAATAGTACTCAAAATATAGGTAAACTAAAAAAAACAACTAAAACTAAACTACGCTCTTTTGGCAGTATTTATGAGAAAAATACTGGTGATACCAAATGATTCCGCATATTAACTCAATTTCGAATATTTTTGGAAATTGTACACTTTTAATAATGCATATAATAAGTACTTAAAAAGTAGGAGATAATGGAATTAGCAAAAAAATATTTTTCTAGTATTTTTATAACTGACCTTCCATGCATCAGATCAAAGGTTGGTATGGTTTTATTGTATTCAGTAATACATACAATTCCAAAGCTTAGTATAATACAACAAAGATAATTTGGTGAAACTGGAACTGAAAGTTAGAATAATAAGAAAATAAGCAACGCTTCACGCAAAAAGATTTTAAGGTCGTAAAATAGGGCCTATAAGTATTTCGGGAACTCAAAAGCAGAGCGCGACATTTTCTAGTGAATTATGCACTTAATTGACATCAACCCGCAAAATTATTTTACCGCAATTACTAGTGGTAAGACATTTTGTGAGTCCGTACGAGTAAGCACCACCGTCCTGACTATTTCTGCCGTAAAATAGTAATGTGTTTCGGTTTGAAGAGTGGGGCAGCCCTTGTACTGTAAAAAACTTAAGAATTTTGTGCCAAGCTGGGTGGCCGCATTTACGTTGTAGATATTCTATGGGCTCCGATGACCACTTAACACCAGGCGGGCCGTGAGCTCGTCCACACATCTAAACAATAAAAAATACAAGCGCCGAAATTGGAATCTCATGACGACGAATAAAACGTGATATGCTACAGCAACTAAGTGATATTTTCCCTTTTTTGTTCCTAATCAGTTCAAGGCACTAGGAGACTAGGGTATATTTATAATTTAGTACAGAAAATGATTTTCAAAAGTCGAACGTGACATGAACTTCGAATCCCAAATGCTTTGCTAACTATTGAAGAATATGGAAACGTTACACAATTATTTCAATCTTTGTCCTCGAGAGGCTATCCTAGCTTCATCAGACATGTAGGCGAGCTCATGAGGCTCAGCCGTCCGGCTTTGCTGGCCTAATGTTAGCAAGAGCAGTGCTTCGCTGAGTATACCACCGGTTCGGAATCGCGACCCACGAAGAAGATCCGGCGAGAAACACAGTGGGATGTGTCTGTGAGTTAATTTTCTCGACGAACCCTGCGTCGCATTCGACGGGTTCGACCTGTGATTTGTATTATGCTTGTATGTGTTATGTGTATGTATTAGGCTTTGCATTATAAATCATAAACTTGACAGAAACGAGATATCACTCCGAACCTTAGTCAACAATATTTATTTAGCAATAAATGTTTTCAATATTGATGAATTAACTAAAATTACAATTTCTTTGTAGGGACTAATTATAAGTAGCGTAATAAATTTTGAGTGCAAGTATTGCAAAATACAGACTATTGACGTAAACACAAGTAAAATTCAGTTATTAGTATAAACAAAGCTAAATAATCTTTTTCGTCACGTACTATCCGGCTTTGGAATTAACTCCCTTCCACAGTATTTCCCGAGCGCTATGATATGTTCTTATTCAAACGAGGCTTGTAGAGAGTATTAAGCGGTAGGCAACGGCTTGGCTCTGCCTCGGGCATTACTGACGTCCATGAGAGACGGTAACCACTCACCATCAGGTGGGCCGTATGCTCGTCTGCCTACACGGGGAATAAAAAGAGAAAAAAAAGAAAATATTCTCATCTTTTATTTATGTACACTATAATAATTGTTACGAAATAATATCAAAAGAATAATTGAAAAACGTACTACTTCTTTCAAAACGAAATCTTAGATCAGAAAGAAGGAATCAAGCTGGAGATTCTAGGTTTATATTAATAGTAAAGAACATTCGCTGCCAAACAGTATCTATGCAGGTAAAACTTCACATATGTACCTATTGACATATCTAAGTCACATTGTGCTTTACATACTTTTTATAATACTTAAAAAACTAGGAGGTAATGGAATGAGCAAAAAAAAAATTTTACTAATACACATACCCTTTTTAAAACTTGAAGTCCAATTCTCATAAATAAACGACATTATACAACGGGTACCTCCTTTTTTTTTATTGTTTAGATGTGTGGACGAGCTCACAGCCCACCTGGTGCTTAGTGGTTACTGGAGCCCATAGACATCTACAACGTTAAAGCACCACCCAAAGATCTCAGTATAGTTACAACGGCTGTCTCACCCTTCAAACCGAAACGCATTACTGCTTCACGGCAGAAACAGGAGGGGCGGTGGTACCTACCCGCGCGGACTCACAAGAGGTCCTACCACCAGTCCTCTTTAAATCGAAACGAATTACCGATTCGCGACAAAAATAGGGAAGCCGGTGACAGTGATCCACGCGAGCTTACAATACGCCATTCTAGTAAATACATCATATGACTGCTTGTTTGTTTGTTTGCTCATTAACGTTAATGAAAAATAAGTCGTGTGAAAAAATGCGCGATAATAATGACCTTAGGTTACCAAATAAAACCTCTAGAGTGTTAAAAACTATAATACAAATACATTTTTAGTACATAAACAAACTCAATTTACTTCTACTAATTTAATATCTTTCTTACAAAAATAAATCTTAATTTAACAAAAAATTCATTTTTTAATTACAAACTATAAAATCTTTAATGTGTTTTAAAATTCGTGCACCTTTATTCATTTAACAATTAGCTGTTTAGATAAATCTTTGGTTGTGCTTGTCTCTTGAAAATACTTTTCAATTTCCTGCAAAGTTTTGTCTTTTGTTTCCGGCAAAAATTTATACAGAATGAACGCAAACACTGAAGCAGATAGACCGTAAAATAAAAATGCTCCGTGCAATTTCAAAGCTTTGAATATATATGGAGAGATTTTTAAAACTGAAGCCATCAAAAACTCTGAATATAACGCTAGGAGAGGTAGTGAAGAACTCCTAAACCTAATAGGAGTCAATTCGCCATAAACAGAACAAGCCAAAATCATTGGTCCACAACTGATAGTCATAGAAAATATAGTTAATAAAGAAATGGAGACAACTTTATTCTCGTCTATAATCTTTAATGATATTAAATACAAATACATTGATAATATCAACAAAAATATTATTCCTAAAAAAGATGATCCTAACAAAAGAGTTCTTCTTCTCAAGAACCTGGATAGAACAGACCCAAAATGCATACTTAGTATTGTAACTGCTTCCAATATTAGCATTCCTAAATAAGCCGTGCTCTCGCTGTTTGTGATTTTTTTTATTAATTCAATCGAATACATCGTACAAACAAATTTTCCAGAAAAATTGTAGAGAGACATAACACACATAGAAAGCAATAAAGGCGCATAAAACCCTTTCGTGGTCATTTTTTCAAAAAAACCTTTAACTCTGCTCCGAAGTGTTCTATTACGTCCCATGCGTTGTTTTAAGTATTCTTTTTGGGCCTTTATCAAATTGTCAAGTTCCTTCTCCGAATCATTACCATATCCTTTTAACCAATGATGAGCTGCAGCGCATTCTGTGAATTTTCCCTTCATAGCGAGCCATGATGGTGATTCCGGCCAGAAAAATACAGTAAAGGGGTATATCGAGAAAACTAAGGCATAAATAGCAATTTTCTTCCAATGAAAAAATGTGCCTGTAGCATTGGCGATCCAAACACCCCAGAAAAATATCGTCGATTTCACTGTCATAAAAATACCTCTGTACTTCGGGGTTGTATATTCGGTAACAATCAAAATTAATACGGTCATGTTGCTAGCGGCCAATGAACCTTGCATTATTTCACTAATTAAAACGAACGTTGCATTATTGCTGCAATAGAACATCGTGTATCCTATAAGTGTATTCATACAAACTAAAATAAAAGGTATTTTCCTTCCAAGCAATCTGGTCATAACAGGTAAAACTAATATCCATGGTAACGCACTATATCCGTGTACTGATGCTGTAACAAATAAAAACAAAGTTATTAGACAAAATGAAGATAATTTTGTGCTACTATCAGGAATTTCATAGTTGAAAAAAATCCGAATATGCATGTTTTATACTTCCTTCACATTTCTAAGCTAGATGGAGTTTTTATAAGACGTAATTATATTCTGATTCGCTTCAGCTTATATTTTAACAAACAACCGTCTATCTGCCATCAAACGTTCGTAACAGTTTTAAATATTTTTAAGCTGCAGGTGGAAATTCCGAAACTTCACTCATTGTTAACCGCTTCTGCCGCGAAGCTAACATGCGGTGGGGTTTTTTTTTTTATTGCTTAGTTGGGTGGACGAGCTCACAGCCCACCTGGTGTTAAGTGGTTACTGGAGCCCATAGACATTCACAACGTAGGGATTGCAGGGTGGAATAACCACTGTGCAATGCAATTGAGATTTCGACCTCATGGGTCTTGGACTCTGGTTTTCACTAAGGAAGCCGTGAGCAATTACAATTAAAAAAAAACTAACTGATCCATGATGCCATTTCTTCTGACACTGCTTCAGTTGAATTAGCCTCCTTTCTCAACTGCGGTATGACGACATTGGGTATTCCGTAGCATAATCCAAGAACGAAATATATTGAACAAACACCACTTGTTATAAAAAGCTGAAACAAACAACGGTATCATGGAACTGTGTATAAATGATTTGTAATCATTTTAAAATGCAATATTTCTATTTATCAATAAACATGAAATAAAGCAATGGAATCTTGTGCGTCTGTATATTTCAATTTTAAAATAGCTAAAGAGTAATATAGTATGAGCTAGCGGTTTATGATTATTTTCTGTCTATCTTTTTGTTTGTTCCCCTATGTCTCCGGAACTATGGATAGAGATTAATTTTGAACAGAACATAAGCTCTATTTAAAATTTAGTAGGAATATCTTTTTCTACACTGTTAAATGTTACATAGTACAACTACACACTGATAATATAGAAGTAATTATCTGTTGGGTTTTCGTGCCCAAGCCACGTAACCAATATTGACGAAATTATTTATGAAAATAGTTTTAACTTTGGAAAGCAATACAAACTTCATTATTTAACTGTTTCATCTCACTGAACACGATTCTCCACCCACTCGAGATAAAGTCCATATAAGCGACGCCGCGTACAAAAATCTAGTTTTAAATAACAGCTACATCTTTATCAGCGTGACCTCCAATGACATAATTATTGCACTTCATCGAACCTTGTAGACCTTAGCTATCAGCAAAGAACAAGTCGTCGAACAATCGTCTGAATAATAAAGTAATTTTACAATGTATTTCAATACATTGTAATTCATGTTAATTGTCTTTTGTTTTTTAAACTTAAGAGTAACCTAACGATAAGATTTCTAAATACTCATTAGCTGACTACGTTAGCATTCGAAAGATAAAATTCCTATTTACTCATTAACAAATTTAGTTATTGACTTGCTCGTTATGCTTAAGTCAAAACGTCGTCTACTTAGTTTTGCTAAAAAATCCGGGTTACGAACTAAATTTAAAACGCTTTAAAGCCTTCGTCAAACAGAACGCGTACTTAGCGCCGCGTACTTAACGTCGCGCTCTTCAAATTGACTAGATGAGTCTAACGCTCCTTGACGCAGCGCATTCGCCAAATCATAATGCCTTTCGATAGCAGTGTGAAAATTGAAAAGTATTAAGAAATCGAGTTATTCAGTTGTGGCATTGTATAAGCATGGGTATTTTCTATCTATTTATATCATTTTTTCGGGCATTATCTAGTATTTTAATACACATTCACTCGGACGCGAAAATTAAATTTGTAAAAAATTACGACGCCTGACGTCAAAGCGTCCTAACGCCGCGACAGAGCGCTGCGTACTTATAGCGCTGGGGCTCTGTTTGACGGTATGTTACCATGGTAGTACAACATATCTCGGCGTCATAGCGCGGCTTGAGCTTAGCGCTCTGACGCGCGCTAATTACGCGTTCTGTTTGACGAAGGCTTTAAACTTTGGTCAGCGCTGTTCAGATTGGTATTGACATTAGCAAATAATAGAACAATAATGTATTATTACTTGAGGATTAACGAACAATTGTAATTCTTGTCGATGAATTGTATATATTATTTTTATTGCCCTTGTAGGCAGACCAGCACACGGCCCATCTGATGGTGAGTGGTTACCGTCGCCCATAGGCTTCAGCAATGCCAGGGGCAGAGCCGAGCCGCTGCCTACCGCAATATCAATACGGTCATTAATCTGAATATAAAAGTTTTGTTTTATTCTATTTCGTAGATGAGTGAAAGATCTCATGGCTCACCTGACCACCAGTTACCAGAGTCCATAGACTTCACATCGTGAATGCGGCCACCCCCTTAAAATAACTGTCCCAACCCTTCAAACCGGAATGCATACTAAAAGAGGTTTTTAAGCGGTAGGCAGCGGCTTGGCTCTGCCCCTGGCATTGCTGAAGTCCATGGGTGACGGTAACCACTCACCATCAGGTGGGCCGTATGCTCGTCTGCCTACAAGGGCAATAAAAAAAATTTAAAAAAATTAAATTTTTTTTTGCCGGTTTTATTACTTTAACATGATGCTCCCTCAACGTGTAACTCATTCGGTGAACATGTATAAAGTATTTATTTCCTTAGAATGATTGGTACCTGACTCCTGGATTTGGTCTCTGGTATAAGCGCATCGCTCCATACGCTCCATCCAACGAGCGATTAATACTTAGGTAGGTGGACGAGCTCACGGCCTACCTGATATTAAGTGGACCGGAGCCCATAAACATCTACAACGTAAATGCCGCCACCTACCTTGAGACATGAGTTTTAGGTCTCAGTATAGTTAAAACGGCTGCCCCACTCTTCAAACCGAAACGCATTACTGCGTCATGGCAGAAATAAGTAGGTTGGTGGTAGCTACCCGTGGGGACTCACAAGACGTCTTACCACCAATAATTACGACTACACAATGTTATTCCTTCACCATGGAAGTCAATCGTGAAAATTGGTACCTGCCAGCAGGATTCGAACACCGGTGCATCGCAAGACACGAATGCACCGGTTGTCTTAATCCTTTTTATCCTTAATCCTTAAAACTTCAACTACGATAACCTCGTTTTTCTCAAAGTGATCGGACGGCAGATAGATAACCACTCCCAAAATTTTTTTTTCTACTGTTTGTTTAATTTTGAACATTTTATTATATACCTATCGTAATATTTGAAGATTTGAAGATGAATTGATTTCACTAAGCCTGCTATTGTCGATACAAGTGTTCCAGATGTAACTTATTTAAGTGTTTCCACTATTTGTTTAATTGTGAACATTTTATTCATAAAGGTACCTATCGTAAAATTTTAAGGTCAAATGACCTCACTACATACAGATGTCGATACAGGTGTTCCACAAGTAAAATTGAAAATCACATCTCAGATTTGTGGTGGCGATTAAAGCATAATATTTTTTCACTGAATCCTATTTGTATGTTAGTATTAAAGCTTTTTTTTTTCGTTTAACTCGTCAAGAACCGTGTTATCGACCGCAATTTGATGAATTTGTGTTTTTTTTTTATTTAAATTAAAAAAGTCTGTACACTGTTAGAAATTATATCCAGTTCAAATTCAGAATATTTCACATGGATCGAATAAATCTAATAATACTACTATTTTTGGAACGAAGTTCCTTATCGCGCGTTGTGAAAGGGGGCTAGACGGAAAAAATTCTTACGAAAAGTTGTCACGACACTTTTTAGATCCGTCATTCTGACCAATCAACGTGTAGGCGCTTATCGCGTGACATTGCTCGTATCCGATTGGTCCGCGTAATGAGTACAGTTTCTCGAGATAGCGTTTCAACAATAGTAATTTANGGGGGCTAGACGGAAAAAATTCTTACGAAAAGTTGTCACGACACTTTTTAGATCCGTCATTCTGACCAATCAACGTGTAGGCGCTTATCGCGTGACATTGCTCGTATCCGATTGGTCCGCGTAATGAGTACAGTTTCTCGAGATAGCGTTTCAACAATAGTAATTTAGTTCATAGTATTGTTTTTTTCTTCTTCATAATGCCATAATTTATTATTATAACTTTAAAAAAAAATTACAATTCCTTCACTAATTAATCGAAAGGAACTTCGTTCCATCCGGGTGTACCTTGACACCTCTGAAGTTTTTTTTCATTTATGGAGAGTGGTTTAAATCGCTGAATCAAAGCTTAGCATAACGATAGTAATATATAACTAATACTAAGATTAAATTGAAGTAAAAATGTATGAAGAGCCGAATGAGAGAAGCCGAGGATCGTGCTCAATGGCGAACAATTGGAGATGCCTATATCCAGCAGTGGACTGCTATAGGCTGATGATGATGATGAAAAGTATTATGTGCTTTAAACAAAATAGCAGATGGCCTTAAATGATAGACAAAAAACGGTGGTGGTAGGACCTCTTGTGAGTCCGCACGGGTAGATACCACCACCCTGCCAATTTCTGTCGTGAAGCAGTAATGCGTTTCGGTTTGAAGGGTCGGGCAGACGTTGTAACTATACTGAGGCCTTAGAACTTATCTCAAGGTGGGTGGCGAATTTACGATATTAATGTCTATGGGCTCCAGGAACCACTTAACACCAGGTGGGCTGTGAGCTCGTCCACCCATCTAAGCAATAAAATATAAATAAATAAACTTTGCGTTGGCACATACTTGTCTCCGGAACGATGTCCAGTTACTTTTTTCCTTTTCACCACCAACAGTATTCTCAATCGAATCATACGTATCCATGATAATGTAATCCTGAAACGTATAGCACAGATTATGAAATCACGTTATCAATATGATTATAAAATTAATCACAGAAGAAACAAACGAGCACGGTCGTGAGAATTTAGTATAAACTAAAAGCTATTTGAACTCTCAACACATTGTCGTGGCGTGTCGGTGGTAAAGTGAAACATTGTAAATGCATTTTTATTTATAAAATCACTGATACGTCTACTGGCAAAGAGTATTGTTTTTAATGCTTTCGTTACGAACCGATCAATTAATACACAAAGAATAGTGTAACTTTTGGTACAATATTTAAGTTATCTAATTTACACAACACCAGTCTTATTTTCAACTTTTTTTTTTTTTTTATGATTGAAAGTTTACTGGTGGCCCGAAGGCCTTTCCAGTTTCACCAGGACAGGTGGGCGAGCAAAGGCTCAGCCAAGAGGGGTGGGATTTGCTAACAACTGCCCGAGCGCCTCCGAAGGAGACCTAACAACTCAAGAGCAATTGTTTCGCGAATGAATCTACTACCGGATCGGAATCGCGACCCGCTGAGAAGATCCGGCGAGAAACTCAGCGGGCTGATGCATGGGTTAGGTTGCACGTCGACCTCTTTGTCGAGTTCGACGAGTACGGTTACCGGGGTCCCTAAGCCTGCCCCTAGTATTAGAGCTGAAGGCATCTAATGCAAAGGTTATTGGATCTGATGGATCCGTAAGGACGTGTCTAGGGCGTCGACGGTGACTGGCTCCTGCATGATCAGGATTCGGGGAGTAGTCAGCGGCGGCAACGATATTTTCAACTAGCGACCCGCCCTCGCTTCGCTTCGGAAGCATTAAATTTTATTATTGATAGTGACCTGCCCTTGCTTCGCTTCGGAAATATTAAATTTTATTATTGATAGCTGAGTCCCGCGATGTTATACGCGGTTATTGTCGTGCCGTGGGTGACGCCGCGAGGCGAAGTTACTCTAAAAGTATAAAAGTTAGTCTAAAAGTAAAAAAGTAGCCTAAGTTACTCCTTATATCATTAGCTACCTATCAATGAAAGTCTCGTCAAAATCGGTCCAGCCGTTCCAGAGATTAGCCGGAACAAACAGACAGACAGACAGACAAAAATTGTAAAAAATATTATTTTGGTGTATGCACGGTATATATGTACATATATTCATATGCATGTAGTAAAAAGCGGTTATTTCAATATTACAAACAGACACTCCAATTTTATTTATATGTATAGATGTATAAAATTTTTTTGATTTGATTTGATTTTATTTGATAGATTATGATAAAAAAACCTTGAAGAATCCGTAGCCTAATAGCTAGGTTGCCCGCTGTGTCAGTATTGCGACACGCGTGGAGTATTGCGACTGAGCCGGGAGACTAATCCAAGAAATTTTATTTTTAACACGGGATAGGCAATATTATGTGGTTATCTAAAAAAAACATAGTGAGAGAGAGACAGAGAGAGAGGGAGAGAGATAGATAGAGAGAAAAAGAAGAAGAGAATTTTTTGAGGAAATCCATTGTTTTTAAGTACAATGTAAATTTTTACATTACAATGTAAATTTATTTTTAAATACAATGTAAATATAATATGATGATTGTTTTTTAGTTAATTTATAAATATTTTACTTTTTACTGGTGATAGGTCGTCTTGTGAGTCCGCACGGGTAGGTACCGCCACCGTGCCTAATTCTGCCGCGAAGCAGTAACGCGTTTCGGTTTGAAGGGCGGGGCAGCCGTTGTAACTATACTGAACCCTAAAAACTGAAGACTCTGGGTGTGTAGCGGCATTTACGGCGTTAATGTCTAAGAACTCCTGTAGCCGCTTAACACCAGGTGGGTCGTGAGCTCGTTCGTTCACCTAAGGAATAAAAAATAAAAACTTTAATTTAGTTCAACGGGTTCTTTTGCCGCGTTTTTTTGTTTTTGTTTCAGTGAGTGCCCGATATTAAAGCAATTATTCAGCTACTTGTATACGCTTATAAAAACACTTGTGAAAACTCACGATCATATTGTACAAAAACGACGACAAATACTTCAAGATATCCGAAAACCAAGAATTATTTATATATGTATGGATAATAAAGATGGGATTATTATTGAGTGATTAAGTGGTGATGAACACACTTATACCTCAGCGAAATGATCGCAGGACCTTGACAACAACATGGAAATATTTGGATGGTCGCCTCAACAACGACTTTACATTACTTGCAGATTTTTATCGGGTACAGCACAGTTATGGTTAGAGACGGAGAAGGTTTATAAAAGCTATGAAGAGTTGAATGCAGTCGTGCTTAAAGAATTTCGTGACCAGCAAAGAGATGCTGATAACAGTCGGATCACCAAATCAACGGGTTCAAATGCATCCGTCAATAAAACAGTCTGGTATAGGATCGAAAAAACTATCGGCTACGTTCGAAGCGACTTCGGCGAAAATTCAGAGCAGAGCATGCGGCCATGAAGACATGTACAAGATGAAGATTGCGGACATACAACGCGACCGGCAATACAATTAAAATAACGCAGTAAAATCAGTGAAAATTAGTAATAGAACAATTAGTGCATTAATAGATACGGGTTACGACGTGAACTTAATATCTGAGGATTTATGGAAAGAATAAACTTACCGTATAACGACGTGCTATTCCAATATAATTGTTCATGAAGTGTCGAATGTGTCTAAGCTGTTGTCCTATATTTATAAACCAAAAATATAGGACAACAGTTTACACGTTGTATTTTGCAATTACAACAGATGCGATTAAATTCCATAAATATTGTTTATCCATACAAATAAGTACATTATAAATAAAAAATTATTTACAAAAAAAAACCTTACAACATATAAAACCTGTGGTCCCTTATCTATATATGTATATAAAAATGAATTGCTGTTCGTTAGTCTCGCTAAAACTCGAGAACGGCTGGACCGATTTAGCTAATTTTGGTCTTGAATTACTTGTGGAAGTCCAGAGAAGGCTTAAAATGTGGATAAATATAAAAATGCTCGGGTTTAAATAAAAATAACAAATTTGTTTTTCCTTTGATGTGTCCCCCGTCGGACGGATTCCTTTTGTTTGTTTTAAGTTTATTTTATACAAAAGTTTAGGTATTTTATTTATCGATTGAGGCACTAAAAAGTCTGCCGAGTCAGCTAGTTAATAATTAAAAATAAGCATTTCTGTAAAATTATTCAAAGACAATGACTCACATTTACTGTTTCGTTTAAATGAACTGCCCTATTTAAGGACACGCCGAATATTAGTATCAGCTAAATTAAACAACAATTGTCCTATTCTTCCAACGGGAATTAAAGATTGGTTGGTGGCAAAAATAGGCAGAACCAGTACTATTTAAGGGAAAGTGAAGGAAAAAACAACAGATATACAACCATTACGAATGATGATTGAAAATTATAAGTAAATGGTAGTTAAGGTAGTTTGGCTAAGGCTACAGTGGGTGACTTGTAAACTAGTAAAGTCTGATGATACTCTGGGCTATACCTATTGCGAAAGAGAAGGCTGACTTTTGTTAAAGGTTTTCGCCTCGAACTCGACTCTAGGCGACGAAGGTAGCACATAACAAAACATTCACCATGACAGATATCTAAGAATTGAAGCAGCATTGACATGAATGATACTATGTCATACCTACTACGTCATACGCGATAAACTGACAACTGTAACCAGAAACTTGCGTTTGAAATGGAGAGCTCGCTATTTTGGATAGAACGTGTAGTGTGTGTAGTAATTTAGTAAGATAAATTTCGTGAATTTAAAATCACAGTGCAATTCAAGGAGTCATTTTTTATATACCGGTTCTACAATTAACCATCGTATTTCCCAAGCGCTATGATATACAGTCCTTCTGCAGCCGTAGTTTAAAGATGATCCTTAACGTTAGGTAGCAGCGTAACTGTGCTTTCGGTATTACTCATATCCATAAAAAGTAACGCCCACTAACTATTAAGCGTAACAGCCTGGCCACGGGACATTCGCCGATACGAATATTCGCGCGGTGCGAACGGCGAAGCGTCTAGCGACTAAAATAAGCGCATAGAAATGTACCTAACAAGCCACGCGCACCGGCGACCGGCGAAGCGACCGGCGAAATGTACCGAGCGAATCGCGCGATGCGGCGGGCGAGCAAAACAAATGCATGAATACGGCCGGCGCGAGCCACGGAGTCGAGCGGTAGTCGCGGCGAATAGTACAGTGATTAAATGAGTTTAGTTGTTTTCGCCGCGAAAAATTAACGCCGAAATTTTTATATTTTTTATTTATTTTTTATTTTTTATTTTTAAAGTCGTCGTGGCCTAACGGACGTCCGGTGCAATCGTGTTGAGCGATGCACCGGTGTTCGAATATCAGGCGGGTACCAATTTCCACGGTGAAGGAATAACATCGTGTAATAAAAATGAAATCCTCAAAATTATAATTTGCGTAATTACTGGTGGTAGGACCTCTTGTGAGTCCACACGGGTGGGTACTACCACCCTGCCTATTTCTGCCGTGAAGTAGTAATGCGTTTCGGTTTGAAGGGTGAGGCAGCCATTATAACTATACTTGAGACCTTAGAACTTATATCTCAAGGTGGGTGGCGCATTTACGTTGTGGATGTCTATGGGCTCCAGTAACCACTTAACACAAGGTGGGCTGTGAGCTCGTCCACCCATCTAAGCAATAAAAAAATAAAATAGCTGAAATACTAGCTAGACCAGCTATTTGGAAGTCTAGCCACCCAAAGTATTTCTCGTACTTCTTGTGGAATTCTCCATCTATAGGTATACTCCGATTCTTATTCAAATCATGTACTTCACAATCTTTTCCAAATAATAGGTCCTGAACCAAAAAACTATTAATTTGTAAGCAATATCGAGATAATTTCGATATAGACATTTCGCTGTCGGACTTCCTTACTAGTCGCGGCGGCGAACGTGAGTACCCGTGGCCTGCAAACGGTGCTGCGCGAATAGTCGCCTCGTCCACCGCTTCGCTGTTCGCACCGCCGATCCCCGTGGCCAGGCCGTAAGGGAGAAACAAAAACAAGCCATGATCACTTCAAATGTTCTGATTTGATTTATATATTTCCA